GGGGGGGGGAGGGGGAAGGTGTGGGACGCGCGCGTACAAACGAGATTCATGATTTTTAATTGTTTTCACGTCCGCCGAGAGTTAATGGGCATTTCTTCTTGGATAAAAAAAGAGAGGGAGGGAGGGAGGGAGAAACCAAATTAAAAATTTCAACGCCGTAAAATTTGCAACGCGGCGAGTTTCGGCGAAAAACTCGCGGGACAAAGCGGAGTTGTAGCCGGCGAATAACTACTCGGCGGAATTTTTCATGTTGCTTGTTTTCCCACCCTTTCGAAAGAGCGATAAAAGCGAATGATTACTCGAAATTCCCACGGCTCTCCGGTTTGAGGAATTCCAATCGAACCGCGCCGGAAATACGCTGAGAGAAAAAAAATAGATTAACTTTGACATAATTTGTCTCATAAATATTACATTGCTTCTATTTATTCAACAGCCACCTAAAAGGCAACCGTCTTCAAAACATGTGCGTGTCTAGTTGGCAGCGGTTGCTATCATTCGAATCCAATCGTGTTTGATCACATTCGGAATCCCTCTTGTGCTATACTTATTATGTTAACTAATAAAATTGATTCACTTCTATTACCATTTCATTTTTGCAACTTCCCTATAATTACAATTAAAATAACCATATTTCACGGTAAAAAATTCATAGGTTGGTCACACTATGTCCATATCGTTGTAATTCATATTCTAGCAACATTTATTGTACATATAGTTTTCCTGATTATAATTTTTGAACCATGCCATTATAACTTCAATGCACCTTTTTCTCTCTCAGTGTATGCGAGGATTTCCAGCGGGAGAATTTTTTCGCATCGCGGCGCGCGAACGAACCTTCGTAAGGATTTCACAAACTTTTGTTAACGTCCCGAAAGGAATGTCAGAGGACGCGTGCGCGCACGCAGTGAACGACGGTTCAACGTTAAGATGGATTTACACACGACGTCGGAATGTCGCACTTGTAACGCGACGTTTGAAACATCTAAATGCCACGCGTGTATCTGCACGGAATAATTTACACCCGCTGGTAAAATGTCACAGCGTGTAATGCCGGTGCAACACGATGTTTCGTACGGGGCGTTTTGAATGCCAGCGTAAATCCTGCAGTGTCTGAGAACCGCTATCGCTGCGTCACGTAATTATTTCAAAGTGCGTCCCTCCTCCCACCCTCTCCGACACTGCGTGAGTGTAGCGAGGCTTCTTAATCTTTGAGCGGCCTCCCGTTGCCGCACGTCAGATTTCAACATCGAACTTCGCGTCGTATCGACCGCCGAATATCAGTCGTGCATTATTATAGTTCGACGCCGATACTTCTTTTCCGAGGCATTCTTCCGTGGTTACACGCTGACTTTAAACGGACGTTAGTCCCCTCGATTACCCTCTGCGTCACTTCAAACGAGGCGCGATGCGATTGCCTGCGAAATCTTCCGAAGGATGTCGCGGGGAAAGATATTAAAATCATCCCCCCGAATGATCAATTCACGAAGGTCACTAAGCCGCTTACCTTGAAACCCTCGTCAACGGGGATGAAGAAGGTATAACGTCCCTCGGTCTTGAAAATCGCCTCCTTCTTCTCGAAGATGATCCGCTGTCGGAAGGTACTGTAAGAAGTGGCAAAAAGAAAGGGAGAAATGAAAAAAAAATGAAAGAGGTTAATTATATCGGTGCAACGACGCGGCGCCGAAGCGCCTGACGTTAATAAGACAAACGAGAAAAGTTCGTGCATCTATTTGCGTTATTTAAATTATCCCACCCTCTCTCGCTTTCTCTCTGTGTTCGCAAGTTTTTGTATTTATATTTAAATCAGAAACTGTGCGCGCGTTAATTGATGGACCGACCGTGAATTATACTTTGGAACGGCCGGTGGTAATAATTCGACACAAGATATTCCAGTCGGACGTGTTGGAATTTTTTCACATCAATCGAAAACAAGAGAAGGGCAAATTCAAAATCGAATATTTATGACGTTTAAAGATCGAGAGAGGAGAGTTTTCTCGGGGTAAAAATCGCTAGATTGAGAATTTAACGATCAAGATCGGGAAGTCTAATAATAACGATGATCCATGGAGACGCTCCACGCAGCTCCCTCCGAGGACATCTCCGCGAAATGGCGTTATCAGAACGCGATATACGAGTCAGGGATGGATCACTCCTCTGAGATTCAAGGGCGCGAAAAACTCTCCTCCGATAGATGTTCTCGTTGCTCCTTCAGATTCGCCCGTTCTCGAAAACCGTCGTTGACTCACATCGTGCAAATGCGCCGAGGCACTCTCAAACCCTCGGCGGCATTTTGATTTACCGTCGTCGCCAACTATCGGCCAAACACACTCTCAACACTCACCGTATGCGGTGGTCGCCCAAATTGAGATTCTCGCTCTGGTTCAGGAACTGAAAAGCGTTCGGATTGTAAATCTGCGACTCAGCCGAGTTGGATCGCACCGGCTCCAGTACTTCGTTTATGATGTGCAGAACCTGAAACGTAGAACGAGACACGGCAGGTTAGTCGGGCAACGATGTGACATTTGGAGGTCTCGATGCGGTTTTCTTGGAAATCAATTCTATAATAATAGTAATAATCTTTATTCACGGGGAATACCTTTTAATATAAAAAAAATAAGGCAAAAATATCACACGCGAAAGAAAAGAAAATCATAAATATACCCTAATAATAAATACAAAAAAGTGAAATTTATGAGATCGTACGCACAGTATAAGATTTAAACGCAGTTAAATTTCCATGAAAAAATCAACGGACGCGAAGGATAAATTAGCAGTTGAACATGTTCTAATCGCATGAGAATTCATACCGTATAAATACGCAGTCGTGTTAATTCTAAAATATGTAGGCAATTTTAACACAGATTTGCGCGGATACATCGCGAGAAGTTTCCTGTTGGCAGTGCTAAAGCTTGAGAGACGGATCGCGAGATTTTTTGCGCTTTCGTAAAAAGTGAACAACAAAACGGCTGGCCATGTATTAATATGCTACTAAATGGACATCACGATAATTCATGATCGATCCGTTTGTATTTTCTCCTTTATTTACATTCGGCAGAAATGAATATTTTCGGCGATATAGGGAAAAATAAAACGTTTATTGCAATAAAATGTGTGTATGATATAGGAGAGAAAAAGTACGTTCGCAGTCGCAGCGGATAGGATTGATGAAATAACAACAATGCGAATAAAAATTGATACGAAAAATCTAAATACGATATCGGAAGATTGCATTTAACGAGGATTTTCTCTGGAAGCTGCAATCATAAATATAATATCATTGGCGAGTATAAGAAACGAGAAACCTCAGAAATTTATTAACGAATCCGACGGGGCTCTTTTTTATTTTATCGGCGAATCTATTTCATTTGTCGACCGCATTCACGTTTTAATATATTTATTCATTTGTGCCGTTAAAATTTACTCATATCTCATTCGCGACGAGGAGGCTCCGAATTTCAGATTGAGTCGTCTGATTCTTCCACAAGAGGCGCACGAACGATAAATCAGCAACTTCACCGTGATAAGCTTCCTCGACAATTCAAGCTCTTATTGGCCGTGTACTTTCGCGATTTTCAGTCTCTTAAAATTCCGTTTTAAAGTTATGCGGAATTTTGAGAACCCCTGATCTAACTTACGCGCTCGAGGACGAAGTTAATCTTGCCAAGTCGAACGATCCATGAATCCGGTGGGTTAAAACGAAGTGAGACAAACCGATGTCAAGCTCGGCACGGAAGAACGCTCGTGAGGACGAGAATACGGGGGAGAGAGAGAGAGAGAGAGAGAAAGAGAGACACCAGGAATGAAGCCCGAAGTGGAGGAAGCGTTAGCGGATAAGCGGTCCAGAAAGAGAGCTCGGGAGGTGCACGTCGCGAGTATTTATCCTGTGGCGACGAGCGCGGGTTATATCGGGTCTGTCAGAAACAACTGACGCGCTTTAATGGTGAACTCATGAAGGAGGACAAAACATATTTGTTTATGTGTCTGCGCGTCTACGTGGAGCGCTATAAAATCTTCTCCGGCGTGCGCGAGAGCTTGCGAAGCAATCACAAGAGAAAGAGAACGGAGAGAAACCTCCCGTCGAGCCGACGCTTTTTCTCACTTTTATTTGCGCGCGACGATTTATTTGTTTAGTTGGACATTTCTACGAAGCTTCTCTGTCGTTCTCGCCTCTCTCGTTCCGATCGCCGCCATTCCACCAGCCGCGAATACAGCCGAAAAATAAGTTTATGAAACCCCCGCGATCGTTACGGGGATGCGACGGGGAGAGAGATAGCGGATTATCGTTTTTCTTTCTTTTTTGGGTTTCTTCCTCTACGCACTCGGTACAAGCTATTTCACGGGTGTCGAGTCGCTGGAAAGTGAGAAGACGTAGGAAACCGTCACCCCCATTGCGCATCCCCGTCGGGAACAGTGCGGCGCGCCATCATTTACCATTCCGAATAGGAAAAAGTTCGCGACTAAAACGCTACCGCCGCTATTTATTCGTTTTCCCCCGCGATCGTCCTGACTCCCTTATCTCGCGAGGGATATCCCGACCCTGTAGCTGTTTGCCTTCCTCTGTCAGGAGTGGAGAGGAAAGGAGGACGGGGGTAGAGCAAGGATTCCGGCGGCATAAGCGTCGAAGCTTGCAACCCCCCAAGAGATTCCGTCGTCCGTGGAATACAGTTTCGGGCGTGCTTTTGTTTCCAACTTCTTATTAACGAGAACATACATTTGTAATGGATTATTGAACGCTCGCGAGTCCACGATACTTTGTTCTGACATATTTCTATTGTATCTTTTACCCTTCGCGTTTCGAGAAATCGAGGTAGAATCACGTAACATTTTATTCCAGCAGTTCGAATATTGAAATACATTCCGCGTGAATATTTTTAATGTTATATCTGTAGGTACATTATGATAAAATCCAACGTGTTTTTTACGTTTCAGAATTGGAAATTAATATTATTATTGAGTTATTGGAAACGAAATGTTGAATTTATCACAGGCTCCGGAAGGTTGATATGTGTAAGCATGAACTGCGGAAGAGCGAACAAAGTAAAACAATAAAACGTAGAGCTAACGTATCGATAAGCGACACTGATAATATCATAGCTCGATATACGCCATCGTAACGAACGAATTGTTGTTTATTTTCGATTCATAAAATATTTACGAAGAGAATAAATGTATTTGTATAAATATGGCGTTACAGGACGAGAGAGAGAGAGAGAGAGAAAGCCAACGAATACAAATAAATTTAATAAAATTTCGAGAGCCTCGCGCGCAGATTTAATGGGCGTTTGCAAAGCAGATATAATTAAATATCCTTGCGATCCATCGTGACCGCGCCGACAGTTTTAATACGAGACATCCATCACGATGTCTGTAAAGATGAGGGGCGGCAAAAAAAGCTGGTTGCTCGGTCGTACGGGAAGTTGGCGCCTATGAGCTCCGAGTGAAACGGAGACGAAAGAGAGAAAGACAGAGGGAAGAGAGAAAGGCAGGGCAACGTGGAAGATCGTATGATAAGAGAAGAAAAAGGAAGAAGGAGCGTGTCCCATTTATCCAGCGTAGTCGTAGAAAAAAGACAGCGACAACGGGACGGCGGAGTGTGGTGGTTGGCTAGAAATGAATCGTTTTACTTACCGAGAATGAGAGAGGAGAGCGAAGTTTGTGTGTTCCTTACGGGATAAGACGGGACGAGGCAGGACGGCCATTTATCTTGCTCGCGGTCGCGACTCGTCGGGAAGAGGAGATCGAACGTTCGCCAGGACGAATCCTTAATTTCCCGCGCGTCTAACCTACCTACCCTACCTACCTACGTAAACGTCCGTTTCTTCGCTTCTTCGCGTGAGACGTTCGACTTAACGTTAGTGAAAGAAAAAAAAAAAAATACGAACAAAAGCTTATCATGATGATAAGGCGGATTCACGAAAGTCGGTTCGTTGCGGAACGCTCGCGAGTCTTGAGGAAAAAAATATTATTTGTGCTGCGAAGGAAGGCAATTACTCAGTTTATTTTTCTTCTTTTAAGTTTCATGATTATCTCGAACGAAAAATATTTTAAAAATAAGTAACGCGGAGCGGTCAATAAGAATCGACGTACAGTTGTAATAGTGCGATTATGCGGACAAAAGGGCCCTTAAAATTAAAGGAACGAATAAACATTCTATTAAACCATAAAAAATATATTCTCTTGACATAATATTAAAATATCACTCATCACAAATACTAGAAAAGTTCATTATCATTTACTCAGGAGAAGAATTTGTTCTCTATTCAGGAATATTATTACAAACTTCATCGAAGGCAAGTTAAACTCAGTTAATTGGAATATATAAGTGCATCAAAGTTTTAGTTTCAGTGTTTTAATTTAATATTCTCGATTGGAGTACTAAACTTACCAGAATTGAGAATATATTTTGATTAAATTTTATATGCTTATGATGAACTTATACTCGCGGGTATATACCCGTTTCATTTGATAAATTGATATGTTTACGGCGATGTAGCCGAAATCGAGGCTCGCGACAGGACAATCGCGTTAAACAGCCCGGGAGCACGATCGTATTAGCAAAAGCTCAGGCTTCTTGGTTATCTTCTAATTTTGCGTGCGGCCACGCGAAGCAAGTTGGGCAGCGTCGAGAGCTCGGCCTACCGCACAGTATCGTAAAGTTAACGCTAATTAAACTTTACCGATAGTTGCGTCGGGCCATTCGCGAACTCTCCGAGCGGACTCCTTCTTAATCAGCCTGGCCACCTATATTCGCGGTCAGAGATGGTACACGGGGGTACGAGTTATCATCTCGATACACAGTAGCCCACGCTCGCTCGCTTATTTCTCTCGGGCGCGCGCCTCGCCGCGAGATAATTACGATTCGCGCGCTTAACGATGAATTACCGTGCTCGTCTACCTGCGATAAATTCACGAAGCGGAGGTTAAAATCGTCCCGATTTCGTCGATTTTCAGCGTCGGGTGTGGGGAAACTTGAAAAAAACGTCGCGATGCAAATAGAAACCGTTCACGGATGAAACCGTCGCGTTCTTGTTTACGATCAAGCGATAAATCACGATGACACGTAAATGACGTCGCGCACGTCGAATTATACATTATGAGAAGCGACGAAAGTGTCCCGCCGTGATTCAAAAATATCGTCGAGCGTATCGGGGCAATATTTAAATAAATTAACTGAGCCGCGCTGATTTTCATTGGTCGCTCCAAAGCTTAACTAAATAACCGCAAATTTGCGGTGAACAAATGCAATTTATGACGCGTGTGCCCGTTGGCTCGTTTCATTGCCCCGTTTCATTGTCCCGTTGACGATATATTTAATTTGTTGAATGCGATTGATTACGTCTTGTGCGCAAATTAACGCGACGCGGCGGTATTAAAGCGCGGTTCACCGGCCCGCGTGGCAGTCAGCGTGTTAATTATTTTGCTCCCTTATCGTGTGTATTTTCTTGCTATGCGCGACTATCCACGCGACGGCA